TTGACAAGTGCCAAGAATTCACAGACATCTCTTTTGAAAAATCTTTACCTTTCGAATTTTAAAAAGATGGCCTTAAAGCTCTTTAAATTTCATGAAAATTTTTGATTGACAATTAATTTTTTGATGCAATGAGTTCAAAATACTAAAAGCGGATCAATAAGTTAATTTTCAAGTGCGCTGGAAAATCTAGAGAAAAAAATCCACTTTCAAAATTAAATATTGATCCTTTTTTGTGCCATTTCAACGTTGGTAATTCGAAACTGCAATTTTTTCAACTTTTAAATTAAAAAACTAGAAAAGGCTCCAAATATGTTTGAGTACACACCTTGTTTACCTGAAATTCCAAAATATCATACATAGTATGATTAAGCTACAAAAATTATCAAAAATTTAATCCCCTTGCCCTAGATCTCTTATTTCTTCACTCATATTTGATTCATGTTGCTTTCTCACTTTAAGGAAGGATGTACATCTATGTTTCATCAAAGAAACAAGAATGCAAATTACAGTGATGTGTCATTGATGAATCATGGCTAAAACCTTGATTTTAACTTTATAATGCATCTATGAAACCTATATGCAAATTATAATGATACGGGGTTGCGGGCGGATAAATGAAAAAAATGATGAACAATTTCACCTATCTTAAAACAGATTTAATCCAAGTAATTTAATCAATAGATTCCTGCAACGTGTCATACTCAACAAAAAGAATGATATACTCTTAAATTGATGTTCTAATTGAACTCTGGTGATCTTCACATGGGCAAAAAAACATGGTAAAACACATCTATCAATCAAAAGTTTGCCGAATATTCAAAAACGTTGCCAAAAATTATTAGAGCATGTGGGAAATTAGTTGCAGTTTCTCTGAAACCTAGTTTTAAAAATCTCATTGAAATTACTGAGTATAGAAAAAGGATCAATTTACAACCTGAAAAAATTATTGCTCCGACTTTCGTGACGAAAGTAACGGAACTTTTGTGCTCGGCGTGTTTTTTTTCTTCAAACAAATTCCGACTTTTTAAAAACCCATTTTTGACGGAGTTTTGTATATCATTTAAAAAGTAATGTTGTGCAGAGTCTTATTTTATAAAAATATTTCACCTTTGATTTTTTTTGTAAAGTTGTGGGGCCAATTTGGGACAATTAATACGCAATATAATTAGCACTATTAACGCGTAAGCCGAGATTTAATCAGTCTTAGAAATCGTTCTAAACTGGTTGCGGGAAGCTTAATTGCCATAATTAATTTATTACTAGGAGCAAAATCTATCACTTTGTACTTTATATAGCGTATGGGCGGATTATTTTCTCAAAAATCTCAAAATAATTTTCGTTTTTTTTTTTAAATTACATTTATTATTCATATTACTACTGTTCCACAGACCTTAAAAGGCAGTCGGAATATACAGGGATTCACCCTGATGCGAGCAGTCTTTTTAAAGTTTAACGTTTGATTTTGGCGCTTTTGTTTTTGTTTCCTTCATTGAAGTTGGTGTATCATGATAAAAAAGAGGATGGACCAAATTCAAAACATACAAAGGAAAGATATTTGTCGATCTATTTCTATTTTAAACATTTTGCTTTTGAAACGGATAAAAACTAAATAATAAGTAAAAGAAGCAGCATCGGTAAAATTTAAATTTTGGCAATTGATTGATATACATCAGTACAGGGATTGATCTAGGATAATCTCGAAAAAAGTTTGAGTTTCAAAAATGGTCGATTTTTTTATCAACTGTTTTGAGGTCAATCAAAACTGCATTATTGTAGATACCCTATTCTGGCCAAAAGTTCAGCTCCCAAGACAAATTTTTGAAAGAAACTCTAAAAAATTTTCTAAGCACTTTTTGTAAAGTTTTGACCAAATAATTGCATTTTTGGCGCGCGCTTCCAGCTCTCAAAACTACTATATATTAGGTGGGGTCAACCATAAAAGGATGACTTAAACATCCATGAGGGACCTTCTAGGTCGTCAGGGGATTGAATCCTAGGGGAGGGAGGGATTGAATTCCTGAGTATTGAATCCTAGCGTACTCTGACTATTGAAAAAGTGCTGTCAACTGTACTTTACTTTTGCTTTGTTCTTTGTGGTGTCGTTAATATATACTAGATAGCTCCATTTCTAGCGAAGACTCAACAAATGCAAAATTTTGCTTTGTTCTTTGTGGTGTCGTTAAATATATACTAGATAGCTCCATTTCTAGCGAAGACTCAACAAACGCGAAGCTATGTTTTTGTTTTTATTTTTTTATCATAAGAACTTAATCATAATTAAAACATTATAATTTTCCAATAACACTACTAACACAGTGTTTTTTGGCTCGGATGTTAGCTGCTAGAACAAAAATCAAAAATTATGCCCACAGACAATTAATATCGATTGACTGAAATTATTTTTCGAGCTGTCAAGAAATCCGTAAAATTATATTTGTATATTGATTTATCATAGAAGCACAGCATTTTGATGTAAACAAAAAAGCAATTGCTAATTTAATAAAAAAAGTTTCTGAACGTGGGATTTCAAAACCATATGCGAAATTTACAGACGGTTTTTGAGTTTCGGGTACCAACAATGAACGTCGATTTGAGGGAAATTAAATGTTCTAAACAGTTTTGTGTGTTGAGGAAAAAACGGCCTAAGTGTTTAAATTTTTAAAGCCACGAAATAAACCTAAATTGCATGAGAAGTCTCACGTTAAAAACACTGTGACGTTGACGTTGTTATTTTTTTAAGCTTTCAGCTAATTTGAAAGAATCTGAACTGCATGCATTAATACTTTCAGTTAGACTGAAAGTAAAAACACACGTAGATTTTTACAAAAAATATATTCATATTTTTTGAAGCAAAATGGATGATGATTTCATGATTTTAGATAGTTTACTTAAAAAACTAATTGCGGGCATACCCCTCGTCAATCCAGGAGTATTTATTCTGCAATATTTTGCAAGATTCTTGCAAATGAGGGCAATCTTGCAAGATGGAGATTTTTTGTAAGAATCTTTAAAGAGGGAAGATTACTAGAATCCTGCAAGATTTTGGCAAGATCCTGCAACATAATCAACTGAAAAAAAATATAATTTTTTAAGTTGGTTATTCCTGGCCACCAGTAAGCTATGGAGATCTATTTGGCATAAGTCTACAAGACTTCTGATTTTATGTTTTGAAAATGTTCTCGAGAAGTTATATTTTTTCACAAAAATTCACAAAGTTCATTTTTGCTAATTTAAAAAATTGCAGCTGTGACTATAATTTATGCAATTCGAAGTAAGAATTTCAAAAGTTTTTTTTTGGAATATTTGTTTTGTTTCGCATTTCTACTGGATGAAAAATAACTTTTGGAAAGTAAATCAAAATTTCGATCAACGGTGTCAGTAAGCGTGAGATTTTTTATATGCTGAGTTGAGATAGATGAGATTAGAAATTGCAATTTAAACTGCTTACCTTACGCATAGCGCTGATCATTTTTCTTGATCTATTATTTTCTTTATTAAATTATTTGAACTAACTGGTAACGCTTGCTTCTGCCACAAAAGCTTCAGGTTGTCTTTGCACGTAAAGTTTTTTCGCCTTCGCCCAAAAATCCCAGGTGTTTAAAAGATCTTGCCAAAAAAGGTCTATCTTGAAAGAATTTCATCCTGCAAGACCCTGCAAGGATCTTGCAAGATCTTTTAAAAAGGTGCATCGCCTTTCAAAGAATGTTGCAAGATTTCGGCAAGATCTTAAAAATAACCCTTCTAGATCGACTAGCGAGCCCCCATTCCAAAAAACTTAGATGACACTAATTGAGTAAACTAGACAATCCAAGATGCAAACAACTCTGGACAATATGGCTTTATTTTTTATCAAAACGCGTGTAATACCATTCTAAACTACCTAAATTGTTCAAAAACAGCTGCAGTGCTGATTTCATTAATTACAGAAAAAACAAAACCAACCTTAATTATCAAACAAATTTACCAAAATTGAAATGACTTCGGATACTAAACGATGAAGAAGATAAATACTTTGAATTAAGGTTATAATTCTTGCCTTATTTTGATTTTAAAAAAAGGATAAGCGGATGCTGTTTAAGCAGCACAGATTGATCTGATCACGGTAATCTAAGCAAACAATTTCAATGATATGGATTTCTGCAGTAAAAAATTCCTGTTTCGTTTCAAAACAAAAAAAAATTTATGAGGTGAGAGAGGATGCAGGTATATAAAAATTCGAAAAAACGAAAAATTCGAATCAATTTTTGTGCACAATCAGAAATTTTTCGAAAATTGAAACGCACAAGTCCGCTGTTCCCAGAACTGCCCCCATCATTTTTAGCCCAAAAAAATCATTATTGAGCTGATTGATTTTTGGGGCAAAAAAAACTAATCTAGGTCTTTATTATGATACTACCCTAAATTTCCTTGAGCTACTACCATCAGCGAAAGTCAACCATGATTATGTTGTCGTTGTCTTAAACTCCGCAACAAAAATAGTCTGAAGCCCGCAACAAAAATAGTCTGAAGCCCGCAACAAAAATAGTCTGAAGCCCGCAACATATTTTAGTCACACTGTAACGGTGACTTGACAATTTAGTCAAAAAAACAATCGCTTTTCAGATCTGGAGAATCGGAAAAACGAATGATAGGTCCAAATATAATTGAAGTGCGAAACTGCTTTAAAATTCTACTATCATTCGATTTTTGTAAGTGACCAAAGAACTGTTTTTGGTTTTGAGTACAGGTTTAAGGGAATATTATGTCTGTGTGCTAAAAACGAAACTCGATTATTCCAATTCAATGATCATATGGTACTTCAAAAAACCTATATCATTATTATTACTTCACTAATTGATATATTTCATCAGTAAAATAATTTTTTTTTTGGATTTTTGCAGCTTCTCGGTTGACGAGAGCTAGACGTCAAAATTACAGATGCAAAAATTGTGAAAACGCAAAAAATGCTTTGACAACACTTTTATAGTTGAACTGTTTTCAAGAATAAATAAATGATTGACCAACCGGCTCAGACGTTTAAAAGATCGGCTAAGAATAAATTATAGATGAAACAATAGATGGATTTTGAGAGAGCTGGTTTTTCTACTTGCGTCAAATTAGTACAGTTTTTTTTTCACTGAATGATGATAAAAAACAAAGGAGGTGCGAAGCAGATTATAATAAAGGAATAAATTATGTCTAAATGGTTAATTAAAAAGTGTAAATTCTCTCAGCCGGTGCATCAGAAAAGCGGCTGGAGCGGAAATGTCTATTAGGCCACTAGTTCCGTCTTTATGACCAAAGGGACTCCATTAACTGTTAACGTACTCCATTTTGGCACTATTAGACCGGGCATTCCCTCCTCATGGCCGACGGACCAAATGGCCGAAAGAAAGGAAGATGCATTAGCCAATCAGAATTGAATAGTTGAAAGTATGACACATTGCGTGAGATTTTGTGAATTTTTTTCATGACAGAAACGCCAAAAAATTCCCCAAAAATTGTGCTAGCCAGCAAACAATTTTGGTATTTCAAAAACCCGAAAAAAACGGGAAAATTAGTAAGTTTTGAACTGTTGAAAGAACACTGGTTGCTTGCATACTTTCGGCCTTTTGGACCTTCTTTCATGAGCATAGCCCACCCCTATAAAGCTATGTTTATAAAAACAAATCTGTGTTCTAAAGTAGCCATTTTATTGCTGTTTGCCAAATAAAAGAAAAGGCAGCCCTGGTTCACAAGGAATAAATTACCCGTTTGACTAATGGAGTGACATTTATCGTTTTCTTCTCCCTACAATAATTGCAATATGAACTTCATGTAATGTTCACACCTTCTCTAAACACTAGAGATGACATATTATTTCAAAAATCACAGATTTAAATTTATGCTGCTTCAAAAACATGATTCGAGTCGACCTCGAAAACAACATATTTCTAAGCAATTTTTGATTTCTGGCGATTTAAATGAAAAAATTATTTTTTTTTTAATTTTGCAACCCAAAAGGCGTATGAAAGTTAGAAAAATGTTTTCAAATCTTCCAAAAATGATAAATATTGCTCATAAAAAATAAATATGAAAAGAAAATAAACAAATTTGATTATTTCAGTGCTTAGTCATGTAAAAGATATCAGAGTTTAGTAATTTAAAATGCATTCCGAATGAACAGACAGAAAACTTTTTTAAACAGAACAAAATATTGGTAGTAGGAAGTTTTTGTCCGGTCTTGTTTGCGTTTTTGATCTCCTGCCATGATTGATCTCTAGCTTCAGGTGTACCACAGACTGGCTTTTTCGGCTGCATCAGTAGTACCAGGTGAAATTTTTAGAGGCAGAAAAACTATCTCGATTAGCATATGGAGCTTTGCTCTAAATTAACTAGATTGTGAGAAACTATACAGAGCTGCCTGTTTTAAGCTTCGCAACTCGCCGCAGCAAAATTCAGTAATTAAAAAAAGACTTAATCATACAGATGTAGCAGTTAAGACAGTGTAGCATTGAGAAGCCAAACTGTGTACTAGATAGGCGCACAATTTGGTGTCTGTAGGTCTCTGGAGTCCAGAGACAAGCCTTTAAACATGTTCCAAAATATAAGCGGAGTCCACTCACAATTTTTCCGTGGATTCCGCGTACAAATACCTGTAACGTTTGTTTGTCGATTCCACAAATTATTCCAGATTCCACAAAAATTATTGCGGATCCCGCAAGTTCATCCGTTTTTTTGGAGAAATTTTGAGCAATACATTGTTTTAGCTATATATTTTCTGGAATCCAAAATAACAAAGAATATAAAAAAAATAGCATTAGATTTCGCAGCAAATCAGATTTCGGCCTGCTGCAAAATCCGCTTGCAATTCGCAAAATGCACAGTCTGGGATCGTAATGGTGTCATTCGAGCGTGGATTTGAGCAATCATATCATTTAGATCATGATATGTTGTAAGTTGGGCTCACATACATGAATTTGATACAATTTTTCAATGTTTTAAAGCCCAATCTCTTCTTGATAATCAGACAAAAACTCAATTAAGTGCTGAAGTTTGCTCTTAGTTGTCAGTGTTGTACTCTGTGAAACCGGAACGTTTATAGTCAGGTGTCGTACTCTGTGAAAACGGAGCGTTTATAGTCAGGTATCCCACTCTTTAACCTCACGATATTTAACCCCCTATGTTTACACCTCCTATATTATAAGCCAGTAACAAGATAACCCCATAACAATTTAACCCTATTTTGATGACGATAATTTGTTTCAAATTAACTCCTTTTATTAAGTCCTTTTACACGCATAGTAGTATTCCACTTAGGTGTACTAATTGAGACCAGAGAAGCCATTCTAAACTCACTTCATGCATTTGTCGCTCAAAAACAATTGAATTTTGATTGGCTTAAGAAATAATCCCTCATTCACGCGTTTAAAACAAAAATAACCTATATAGTGCAAATTGAAGGCAACAAAAGACGTTCGTGAGTTTTAAAAAAAAACATACTGCCTGTTTCTTTAACCATTGTTATACCACTGTATCAGATCAGATATAATATTTGAAGCGTTTTTCCATTTAACGTTATCTGCGAAAGACAAACAAAAGCTGGTGGTATCAGACCACGAGTATTACCTTAAACGCAAAAACAAGACTACTACAAATTGGAACTGCTCGAAGTATCAAACTCATAAATGCCACGTGGCAGCAATTAAGTATGGAAAAAAATATTGAAACGAGGTGTGAACATAATCACAATATTTCCACGGGCAAACCTGATGCTCGACTAGTTTTGAAAAAGATCAAAGATCTGAGGGAAAGTAATACCCCAACCGTCACAATCGCAACCGCAATTTAGCCCATAACAGACTACATTGCCACTCAACTAGCCCTACCAACCAAAGAAAATTTAGTTTGCACCGCACAACGAGCGCGCAAGCAACGAGAAGAAGTCTTACCAGTCACCCTAGCAACCAGAAGTTTAAAAATACCCAATTTTTTAAAGTTTGACAGTGGTCAAAATGATCACGAGAGGATTATTTTTTTCGGCGACCCTGAAATGCTACATGTGCTTGAAAAATCTTAATTTTGGTTGACAGATGGAATTTTGACTGAAAATTTTTAATCAACATTACTCTATACACGTTAGTCTTTCAGGAATAGCCCCGGCTTGCATATATGCATTTCTGCCAATAAAAAACAGAAAAAAGTGTCGTCCTGAATCGAGTAATCTCAGGGATGCGGTATCATCGGGTTTGGCCAGAACAACAAATGCTGTAGAGGGCTGGCATTATGCCATGCAGTAATGCTTCAGTGGATCGCATTCCAGTCTATAAAAAGACGCTTCCGTCCAAAAACTTATTTTCTATAACGCCTCAAGTGGGCTCCAATTTACAAAAAAGAAAAAATACTGGGTGCTCAACGAAAAAGTGCAGAATATTATGCATGTATACGAAGAGAAAACTGATTTGCATTTCTTTCGCGCTATGGCGAACTTGAGTTAAAAATTTGTTTAATTGTTTTTTGTATTTATTTTCAATTTTAAACTTTGTTTGTCATTTTTTTGAGAAAAAATTTCTCCTTGCAGCATTGACTTGACTGGCGCATTGACTTGACTGGCATTTGAAAAAAGCTGTCTCTAGCAACTTATTCATGGAACAATCGCTCCTTTGGATGGGATGCTAGGTTGGGACTAGGGGCTGGCAAACCCTTTCGACAGTGCGTTGTATGCCGACAATTCAAAAACAAGTTGACAAAGTTTATATGGCGCAAAAATTAGATAACTTTGATTTAAATTGATCGGTATTTCAATTTCAAATTGTCCGCTTAGATCAACTTTTGGGTCACAACCAGTTCTGATTCCATATTTCTTTTAAATTCAGCCAGTTAACTTTTTATTGGCAGGAATTTTTTCAAGATCAAGTTCAGTTTTGGAAAAATTTAATCAGTTTTGGTAATTAATTTGAATCATGTCGGTCGGACTCGTTTTCAAGTTCATATCAAAGTCTAGACTATCGGCAAGGTCATTTCTGTTCAATCTAAAACTCATTTAGCAGCGTGCATGTTAATTCATTTTGGTTCGCAAAATTGTGCAATTAAAGCTTTGATGTTTACCGCCGATATTGTTCCGAATCCTTTTCCGAAATAGGTTTCCTTTGATTCTAACAATTGGTATTATATTGTACCGAGGTTATCTAATTTTGGGGTTATATGAGAGGGGGTTAAGAAAAAGGGGATCAAAAACACTGGGTGATAAGCTTCGGAACCTATAATCAGACTATAATGTAACAAAAACTGTAGAAAGCACAGTAATCAATTTGCAAAAAAACGTGTTAGTCTCGTACACTGTTATATCCTTTTTTCAATATTAACCTAGCAGACAGCACAAAGGCTTTAATCACATGGAAAATGAAAACTAGCTTTTTGCCTTTAATTTTTCACCGTTTTTTTAGGTATATTTTAGAAAAAACTGTCCGCTATATCTGTTTCAACTGAAAACGTTCTACACGATTTTTAAAAAAACCGTTTCGAGCAAAACTTCTCATATATATTAAATATGGCTTTCAAAGAGCCTTTTTCGGTTCATATCAACATGAGTTTATGTATCACATTTGAAACCAGCTGAAGTTCTTTGGTCTAGAGTAGTTATATTTTTGCCGACAAATTGTCGATGATTCGTTATCGAGTAATGCCAAATTATTATAAACAAAAATAGCTTCTGCTCTTTTTATAAACAGATCTCAATCGTGAAAAACAAAAACTCACGTGGCAAGTTTGCCTGATTTAACGTTTTATAAATAATTTTTTGACTCCGATATTGCTGATTAACAATTGTATATAACTTCTGCTGTCTATACTTTTATCAGTGCGAGAACAAAGAGGGCTCAATTTCATATGGCGATACGGCAACTTAATAATCATGAGCTTTGCAGGTGTTTTTGTGACTTCTGTTTTTGTTTGCTGACAAAATTGGTGAAGTTGTACAATGAAATGGTTAACCAATAACCATTTAAAAACCCTTTAGATTGGTCAGACTGGAACTAAGTGATCTCAAAAGTGAATCCTTGACTAAGGTTGTATGATCGAAGCACGCTTTTTGAAACCCAATTTGACACATGTTAAAGAAAATAACTTTGTTCAAAGTATTCATTCTCTTTTTCAAATGTTAACTTAGCAGGAAAGCATAGAAACTTTGCTCAACCAGGATAACCAAAAACTCTCGTTAAAAACGAAAAAAATCAGAAGTTTTGTAATTTTTTTTGGTAGGGGCGAGGAAATACTTTGAAAGTTTTACAGCTAACCTGTCGT